GCCCTCCTGACCATGGAGATAAAAGGCTCTTCCTATAGATCGTACATTATTCGCTGATACGTTCATATAATCCGTCATTGGTATTTTCCCTATAAAGTGGAATTTTCCTGAGAAATTGAAATAAGAACTAGACAAAACTTCATTCATCCACTGGGAATTTATTCATTAGTCATGAATAAGTTCCCATTGAAATCTTCGGGCCTAAAAAAATCCTGATTCAAATGCTGGCTGGTTAGACCGGTATGTATGGGTTTTCAAAAAGTTCAAGGCCACGTGCCGACGTGAAGTACTGATGTAAGGAACGAGTTATAAAGCGACTCAACACTTGTCGAATCCACCGCTTTTGAAAGCAAATTTCCCCACAAGGATCAAGACGAGTCTTAGGAAAAACCGCTCAAGATGGGTGCATTCAAGGGATTCTTCATGAAAACTGTGATTAACGTTAAAAAAAGAATCGCTTTTTACGCAGTAAAGTTGTGGCGTCTGCAGGGTACATCCTCACTTTGGGGAGAACTCCGCAAAATACGACCACCCACCCCCACTTCGAGTTCCCTCCTCGGGTACGTCTCTCTCTCATTCTACCAGGTTACTACCGACTTCTGCCAAAGTTCCCTGTCGAGGGAGGGGGGGAAAGGGAAGGGGGGGGTGAAAAGACATAGCGCTCTCCGCAAAGCTGTATAGAGGATGGGCGTAAGATTATAAGAGAAGAAGAAATTGAAAATTCAACTCACTAAAATTGAGGAAGAACATTTTCACCATGATATTCGGGAATAAAGCGATTAGTAGTGGAATACCCACGAAGATGAAAATAAGGAGGATGATTGTTAGTTGACAGAGGCATAATAAGAGGCTGAAAAATACAAATTGTAACCAAATCAGACCATATCTTCACCAGATGCTATGTGTCTTGGGAGGAGCCGCTCCCCAGGTGGAAAATCTATGCCAAGTCTGCTCGCCTGCACCCTCTCAGCGAGGCAGCGTGCATGTTCTGAGATGGCTAGACATCGTCAGAACATGTCAAAGCCATGTCAGAACAGGCTTGGTTATAAACTGCTTGACGGAGATTGCCCCTCCTCCCCACGACTGAGACACATAGCGTTGTTTATTGTAAGCAGCTAACGTTCTGAATCTGCCTAAAATCACTCTTTTGCACTTCCTTCGAAAGCTTCCGCAGGAATATGGAAAGCGTTTCATGCCTGAGTCAAAGTAACCGGACAAACGAATATCCATGAACGAAATGGACTCCTCTTCACCTATTTTTACGCAAGAAAAAAAGGTCTATCGATAAGATTACATCCGAACGGACGCATTCATCCTTCAGCTCGCGGGAGAAGAAATTAGACGGTGCTATGTGTCTTGGATTCCTCCAGGAGCCAAGCGAGCACGAGGCCGTCCCAGAAACACGTGGAGACGTACATTCGAAAATGACTTGCGAATCATGAATGCTTCTAGGGACCAGGCCGAGGAAATCGCGCAAGACCGACAACAGTGGAAAGAATTCGTCGCCCGATGTGCTCAACAGCACGGGAGGAACTAAGTCTAAGTAAGTCTCTGCGGACGGTTGGGCGTGTCAGTGCGGCTGCGTTTGGCGCGGTGCCAAACTCGTTCTCCACCAGTTGTTGAAGCGGGCAAGTGACAATACTGTATCATATCCTTCGTATTACTCGTTTTCTACCACTTTTTGTCGCATGCGCGTTTCAACAAGAAGGCAGAGAACGGCTTCAACAGTGTGAACACTCATACTGCCTGACACGCCCAACCGTCCGCAGCGAACTAAAGTGTAGTGATGAGGACATTGATGACGGGTGACAGGTAATCTTATCAATCGATAAAAATTGATACGATACCATCTGCGCTAACCTCTCACCGCTTTAATGCCGAGTATTCGAGGCTCAGATTGTGAAACTTTCCTTTGGCCAACACTTTCCTGATAACACTAGAAAATGAACTCATCCCACTATCCTACTATCCTACTCTATA